GAATATATCACATTTTGTTTATTTTTCATTCATTGTTGGATACTGGGTTGTTTGTACTTTTAGGCTATCATAAATTTAATTTTGAACTTATAATTCTGCGAGAGATTACTAAGTATCTCCTATCTTTTGTCTTCTGCTGAATTCAATAAGACCTAGAAAGAACACATGATGTAGCTAGCTATCAGAGGATCTCAAAGTTGACAACATCCAGCCTATTAAAGAAGAATCAGAATTTGAATAAGCAACAAACTAGTTACGGCATTCCTATATTTTTGATTCATGAGTTCTCTGATCTGAAATTAATCCAGTTAGGAAACAGAAAGTGAGCACTATGTTACAGACAAATACTTCCAGTAGAAATCTAGTTCTGGCTTGAGAGTTGATAGAGATAATTCCTCAAGATTAGAAGAAGAGGGGGAAACCAGGTTATTCTCTTCTATATCCCACCCTCTAGATAATCATTCATTGGCAACAACAGCAGTAGCAGTAGAATCCTTTAGGAGTGAATACTCTCAGGGATAGACTCCATAATTTTATTTGATTAACCTGCTGCCACAACAGAGGAGAGCCACATACCATTGCTTTTAAATCTCTCTGCTCTTCCACCACTCATCTTTTTTATATTTAAAAGTTTTTTTTCATTTCACACACCAACCACAGTTCCCCCTCCCTCCCCTCCTCTCACTCACCCCCACCTTCCCCTCTCCAACCCTCATCCACTCCTCAGAGAGGGTAAGGCCTCCCATGGGGAATCAACAAAGCATGGCATAGGGCATATCAAGTTGAGGCAGGAACCAGCCCCTCCCCCCTGCATCAAGGTTAAGGGAGGCATCCCTCCATAAAGAATAGGCTCCAAAAAGGCAGCTAGCTCATGTATCAGGGATAAATCCTGGTCCCACTGCCAGTGGCCCCACAAACTGCCCAAGCCACACAACTGTCACCCACATTCAAAAGGCCTAGTTCAGTCCCATGCAGGTTCCCCAACTGTCAGCCCAGAGTCACTGAGCTCCAACTAGCTCAAGTCAACTGTCTCTGTGGGTTTCCCCATCATGATCTTGACCCCTTTGCTCATACAATCCCTCCTCCCTCTCTTCGACTAGACTCTGGAAACTCTACCCATTGCTTAGCTGTCAATCACTCATCTTAAGAGCTGGCAAAACTGCACAAGTAAGTAGTTTCCAATTAGACAGCTGTTTCCTGAGCCTTAGGTATAGAGGTTGTGTTGTAAATGTTTCAATTAGGGCACATGGTAGTCCGTTCTCTGAATTTTGACCCATTGTGGCTTTCTATAATGGTCTCTGTCTGCTTCAAAGACAAGCTTCTTTGATGAGAGCTGAGAACTGTACTTTTCTGTATGTATAAGGGTATACATTTAGACTGTAGTTAGGAATTATACTGGTTTAGGTTATATTCTAGGGTCCATGGCCATGAGTAGTGGCCTAGGTTAATAATATCAGGCATGAATTCCCTTCTGTTGAATAGTTATTAAGTACAATTAGCCCTCATTGTACATTATGGTGGTTTGAATGAGCATGGCCCCCATAGGCTCATATATTGAATGCTTGGTTCCCAGTTGGTGTTGGGAAGGATTAGGAGGTGTGTCTTTGTTGGAGGAGGTGTGTCACTGAGCGTGGGCTTTGAGATTTCAAAAGCCCAAGCTAGGCACAGTGTCTCTCTTTGCCTGCTGATCGGGATGTGAAGGTCTGAGCTACTTCTCCAGTGCCATGCCTATTTCCTACTATGATCATGGGCTAATCCTCTGAACTATAAGAATTCCCCATTTAAATGCTTTCTTTTATAATAGTTGCCTTAGTCATGGTGTCCCTTCACAGCAATACAACAGAAGCTAAGGTACACCTTTAGGGATAGTTTGCTGTGCAGGCCATTGCTGGGGGTCATAGGCATTACAGTTGTGGAGGAGCATTAACTGCAGTTTGCATATTACTTTCTGGTATTATAAAAGCTAGTCCTCAAGGAAGAGGGTTTCAGGTCAAACTAGCTTGCATCCTGAGTCCTGTGTCTGAAGTGCATGGTATTTTTAGCAATAAGGACTTAAATTCGACTACTGGGAGGTAAGCAAAGGCAAGAGCAATAGCCAAAATTGTTTGCTCTTGGACATCCCTGACCAAAAACTTAAAAGGAAGTTCCTTGTGCCTGGCACTTGGCTTTTTGTCACATAGTTTATGGCTCTTGGGGAGAACATTATCATCCCAAGTGGCTTACCTTTATTTAAACTCTGTATGTATACCCACACATTCCTATGTTGTATGTAATTTTAGCTAAACACAAATATAACTCTCTATTGCTATTTTAGACATCCATAGTGTTGTTTATCCCCCTTTCCCCTTTTCCTGCCATATTATCTCCCTCTGTCATCCCCAATTAAACCCCACACCCATTCTGTCCATTTTCCTCTATATATCACCTGTATGCTTCATCCCACTCTCTAGAGCTCTTTCCCCTACCCATAATTCCTTTTTACTTTCATGGTTTATGTGGTTACTCCAGTTTATATTCTTGCTAAAGACTTGGAGCTAGGAATCACACATGAAAAAGACAAATGCAGTATTTGTCTTTCTGGGGCGTGGTTGCCTCCCTCCTAATTTATTCCAGTTTCACCTATTTACCTGGAAAGTTCATGATTTCATTTTTCTTTATGGCTGGATAGTATTCCATTGTGTATATGTACCACATTTTCCATATCTATTCATCACTTGAGGGACATTCAGCCTGTTTCCATTTCCTAGCTATTGTGAATAGCGCAGCTATGAGCATGGCTGAACAAGTAACTGTGGAGTAGGATGTCAGATCCTTTGGGCATAGGCCAAGGAGTGGAATAGCTTAGTCATATGGTACATCTACATTTAGCTTTTGAAGAGTTCTCCACAGTGATTTCAGAGTGCCTTGACTAGTTTTCTATCCTACCAACAGTGAATAAGGGTTCCTGCCCCTCATCCTTGCCAACATTTGTTGTCAGTTGCTTTGTTGATCTTGGCTATTCTGACTGGAATGAGATGTCCAATCCTGATAGTGTTTCAATAGCCTGGTGTATGCAAAACAAGTCTTAATATGGATCACAGGGCCTAGCCTGCTATGTCCTCCACAGCAGAACTGTTTATCTACCTTCCCCCAAAGCCCAGGAATATAGTTTTCATAAGGATAGTCTGAAATGTGGTCCTGACTGTCACAAATGCATTGTCTCCAAATAAGAAATAATTTTCAGTATTTGGCAAGTTAAGGATTTATGACTTGAATTCTTACTCTTATAGAACTTTATGTGGCATCCTGGTCTGCTATATCCCTAGTTGCCTGTGCAGCAAATGTAATTAACATCTGGATTCCTAATGTGACTGCATGTATGTGGCAGAAATTAAAGCATTTTCTTTTTTATAATAGTGTGTGTGTGTGTGTGTGTGTGTGTGTGTGTGTGTGTGTGTGTGTGTTTACATGCCATAGCACATGTCTGTTGTCAGAGGACAACCTATAAGTGTGATGTGTGTTAGGGACTGAACTCAGGTCATCAGGCTTGGCAGCAAGCACCTTTATCTGTTGTACCATCTCAATGGCCCTAAACCATTTCCAGTGGTGTGGCTAACTAATGTTGGACCTGAACAGAGCCCTTCCAACCTCAAACTCGTTTGGAAGGGAGAGGAGCTTTTATTGTTTGTGTTAGGAGAGCATATTGCATTTTACAATGTTTTCAAGATGTCTTCTACTTCTTTTTAGCAGCCTGGGGTATACTCCTTCATCCTACTCTATCTACCCCTCCACCAACCATCTGGTTTTACTGAGATTTGTCTGTATACTGCAGAGAACTGACTTCTAGAGCAATTACTGCGGCAGGTATTTCCCCACAGAAATGTCCTGATTTGCATTATAATCAACCTGAAGGGCCTGTCTTGGTTTGTGTTTTGCTGCCTAGTCCTTCCTTCCAGTGGTGCCTGTAGGTGGCCTATTGAGAGCTTGAAGGACCACCCCAATCCAGTAATGCTCATCAAGCCCCATGCAACTGCTCCTCTACCCTGTTGAAAGAAATGATGAGATGTAGGTATTGGTGATATTTATCCATTTATTAAAATATTTTAAGAAGCAATCACTGTATGAATTTTGAGGACCGGTGTTCCATTTTGTGGGAAGGGCTAAGAAGAATAGGCACACTTTGTGGATCTTTTCCTTCTCCGTTTTTATTTACTGTTATTCCATCACTATTCCAGCTTCCTCCCCTGACCAGGCCCTGGCCCTGCTACTTATTTGCAGGGCCTCTGAGAAAACACAGAACATATAATAGTAAGCAACAATGTATTACAGATTAGCAAACAAATGCAACTCCACAAACCATATAGCCAATCAAGGTCCCTTATTCAGTGGAAAGGTGTGGATGGGGTCTGATTTCTCTGGTATTGGTTTCTGTCTGTTATACAACTAAAACTCTACTGTGTCCTAAGGGAAGATGATGTTGACCCCCAATTGTTTCTTCTGGTCATCTTTTAGTACATTGAAAATATCCTCTTTATTCTTCCCTTGCCCTTTTGGGTGTAATAGAGGGCCTTAATGGACAGCTGTTGGCCTCTTATACTATCAATGCCAGAAGTGGTTGGTGGCAACTTAACTCTATTTGGATTTTTCCTTCCCTGCTGTCCTTCTGGCCAAGAATTAGACAATCAATTCTACAGACAGTGCTACCAAAGATACAACCAAACCCCAAAACTTTGATTCTTAATTACTTCTGTACAGAACTGTGGTGGATACTTAGTGTCTGGTCCCACCACCTGAGCAACTGTATTACTTCAAATCGTTAACAATGAAATCCCGAAAGGAGCCCATGTTCTCAGGGCTAAGGAAACTCCAGAGAGAGAGAGAGAGAGGGAGGGAGAGAGAGAGGGATGGACAGAGGGAGAGAGGAAGAGAGGGGAGAGGGGGAGAGGGAGGGAGGGAGAGAGGGAGAGGGAGGGAGGGAGAGAGAGAGGGGGAGAGAGAGGGAGAGAGGGAGAGGGAGAGGGAGAGAGAGAGAGAGAGAGAGAGAGAGAGAGAGAGAGAGAGAGAGAGAGAGAGAGAGAGAGAGAGAGAGAGAGAGAGAGAGAGAGAGAGAGAGAGAGAGAGAGAGAGAAGAGAGAAGAGAGAGAGATCCCTTCTTGCTTTGTTTCCAAAGATGTGTGAACAAGTTCTTAGCATGCCAGCTTCCCTTTGCAGAGAACCATTGGTAACTAAACAATGCAGATGGTATCTGGACCATTTTAACAAGCCACACTGGCCCCTTAGCTTATCAGTTTTGCCCCACATTCGGTTCTAGTCCCCATCCTCTAGGTGTCGTTCAATAGCATTCTGACTCAGATAGGAGGACAAGGTGGGGAATGAGTGGGACTTCAGATGGTACAACAGAGCAACAGCAGCATTACAGTACACAAAGACCTACAGCACTCCAGCAAAATAAGCAGGGATGGATTCCTATTACAGTTGACTATCATTTGCAATGAAATAATTACAAGACATAGCCCTGCTTAGTCATTACCAAGGTAAGGCTACTGTTTCTTAGGATTTCCTTCTGTTTCCTTAAATTTGCTTATTTAGAAATGATCCAGTTTTGGAAAAGACTCTTCGGAGAAAATTCAACATGGTTCCCAACTATGTGAATGTGCATGTGCAGGTATTAGTTCCTGCAGCCAAGGAGGAACAGTGGCATTGGTGGATTGGTCTGCTACCTCTTCCTTTGAAGAAAGAGTGACAAGAGGAAACCAAAGACGCTGCAACAGCACGGTCCACTTAAATACACACCCTGTCAGCAATACACATCCTGATGTTGACGTCTTAAGTGTTTTCTGCCATCTCTTCCCATTGAGTTTCTCCTCTGGTTGTAGAGCTAGGACAGTTTTGTTTGGCACAGCTATCAGACATTGGGGGCTACCCCATTGTTAAGTCTCTTTTTCTCACCCCTGAAGAGGTGGAACACAGGCAGCTGGTTTAAGTGGGTTAGGCTGGTGGAGTTCTAGAAAGTTGAGAACCAGTGATAGGAGTCTGGATTGTGCACCTCAGTGAACCAGCCGTTGGACTGAGTCAGGTAAATTGAGCACGCTAAGTTTGGCTGAGCAGTGAGAAAAGGGCAGTTTTCTGGATTTATGACCGAGGGTGGAGATGAGAGGCAGACCAGAGACATTCTCTCTGAGCATTGGACTTTCATTAGATTTGCCTGACCAAGATTGTACACTTAGAAAAACAAAAGATTCAAATTGAGATTTGGAGCAATTTAGGCCTACTATGTTTTCATGAAAAACTTGGAAGCAGAACAGCAGAGAAGCCTAAGGCTTTTAGCCTTTATTTTCCCTGATCCATGTTCCTTCTGGTCACCCTGACTGCCCCTCTTATACTCAGGGGAAAAGGGGGCAAGATATGAGATTTGAAGTTAATTTGAAGAGTGCCCCAACAGCCTGTCCAATAGCTGCAGGCCCAGGTTAAGTTTATGGGGAAGAGCACAGGCTGTGGTGGTTGGTAGGCCCTAACTTAGACATCCAAAGGGTAGAGCTCTTTCACATCTTTTGGACTGGGGAAGGGGACAATAAAGCTTGGGCAGTTGCTGATACAGAGCCAGGAGAAACAGAGCAAATGGCAGCATGCCAGCTTGGCCCTTCTGCAGGGCATTGGTGTTTTTGTTCCCTTCTGTGGCCTGGCTCAGTATTTTAAGTGGATGTCAGAATTAGCTGGGCTATAAGTAGACTCCAGCTACTTCTAAGACCCTAAAAATGCACCAAAAGATTAGGAGCTCCACCAAGAACTAGGGCAGTTGGTAGAGTTATATATGTGTGTAGGGTAATAGGGAAGGGGAGGGATTCCTGGGTTATCACAATATATTAGAGGGTCACTTAGAGGTCGAGTTGTATTTTCAGTTCTTAAAAATATATATGTATATCTATGTACATCTTTATGTCTCTGTATATAATCTATACTGCAGCACAGCGGCAAAACATTTAGTTAAAAAATCCAGCGAGAATGCAGGCAAGCACTCCATGAAGACATGCAGGCTAGGATCAAGGCAAAAGGACAAGAGCCTGTATGGTTGCCATGAGGGGTGAGTTCCAAACAGTGGGCCCACCCAGCCACGAGAGCACCACCTGGACATGTGCAAAGACATACATGGACACATGAGAAAACACAAAGAGTGTATGGGGAGAGTGGAGGAAGGAGAAGTAGAGGAGGAGAAGGGGAGAGAGGGTAAATGGGATGAGAAGGATGGCTAGTGAGGAAGAGAAGAAGAAAGGAGAGATAATGAGAGGCGAGAGGAGAGGTGAGAAAGGAGAGGAGAGAGAGGAGGGGAGGGGAGGAGAGGAGAGAGGAGAGGAGTGGAGGAGAGACTCATATCTACAAGGAAAGATTCACATGATCATTGTAACAGACAAGTGGATAAGCCTCCAGGACCTTGTTCTCATCTTGAACTAACTATATCCTTTGAAATATCAAGTTGCAATTGGCAGGGATTGGAGGAGAAACACAGCCAAGCCCAAATGCCCTGCCCCCTCTTCATCTTTCTGAGAGTCAGTTACTCATTCATTCCTTGGTGTCAACAGTTTCTCTACTAGTGAAGGAAACCCATTCCAACACTTCCTAAAGAAATGCGCTCCCATCAATTCTTATAGATCCCAGGCTATTCATAAAGAGTCTATCCCCAATAAACACTGTAGTTGCTCAAGGTACACAAAGAGAAGGAGAACTGAACAAGACAACTCGGAACAAGAATCTTTGGCCAACGAGAAAAATGTAACCCTCTAAGGAGATCTGATTAAGTCCAGGGAAATATGTTACTCTAAGGATTTGGAGGGTCTTTCTTGGTGGTGCTCAGGTTTGTTCTGATATAATTGAGTTCCATCTTTACTGAGGTTTTGAGTTTGTAGTGGAATTCTGTGTTGAGAGCTCTCCTTCCAGCTTTCAAGGACTACAGCTGAGAACTTGCAGGTGTTGGAGGGTCGTCGTCGTCGTTGTCACCTTTTTCCTCATTGCCACGGTTTCTGCGATGCCAGAACCTGCCTTCAGAGCCCCCCGCAAAAAAAGGGTATAGAAAAAATGAAGTTAGTACTTTGCCAGATGCTTCAATGTGTGAGCCTCAGAGGGGGCAGGGTAGCAGGAGACAGACTAGTTTGTTCCTACTGTAGCAACCATCTTTGAATCAAAGAGGAAGCTACTGGGGACCATATAAACTAAATGCAAATAGGATTAAGTCTTAGAAACCGATCATCTATGCAAGTACTATGGACTTAATCTGAGTCTACAAAAATCCTTTCAAACACTGGAGATTTCCAAATGTCAGATTCTTAAGGAATCAAACCAGTTGGACCATACCCAAGAAAAATATACTTAGATCCAAAAGATTTTCTCTTGGCATCTGAAAAATCCTTATTCATTCAAACTAAAACAAACTACCGTCCTCTTGTCCTGTTTTCACATATCTGCTAATGCTGTATCTTTGAAGCTTCCATGTTACCTAAGCCTCAAATTTAGGAGAGACCATGAGCATCAGAATTGAGACAACTAAAAATTCTAGGAGAGTCTTCTTTTGTATCCCATTCACATTTCAACAATACTTCAGTTATGAGGAAGAATGGTACAGAAAACAAAATTTATATAGTATGAGATTTGTATATCCAGGAACTCTCATTAACAGAGAGAAGGGGTTTTTGACAGGGCGATAAACCTGTCCCTAGCATCTTAGGGATGGGTCAAGCAGTAAGATACTGGTCCAATTGCAGTTTTCCTTTTGGTCATCCAGTCCACATAGCACCAATTCCTTCTCAGGCTTGCCACTTACCAGCCAGTACTCATATCATTCTCTAACTTACTTGGCATTACCTAATACTGGCTTCCTCCTGGAGACCCTTTCCAACATACCCATGAACACTTCTGAGGGTACTTTCAGGTCTCATGGAGGAGCCCATTCTTATTTTCCTTCTGTTCATACCCTCTGTTTCTGTGGAATTGACTTACCAAGAAAACGAGGGAATCTGTGGCTTGATTTTGGCTTTTCTTCCTCTTCTCGCTTCTTCTTCCTAAACTTGGGGAATCGAATCCTCAGTCTGTGACGTAAACTGTGAGTGTCAGAAGACTGCTCCTGGGAAACCACAGCAAGAGTCAGGTCAAAATGCTAGTTAGTTTACATTCTGCAATAATTTCTACGGGCTTTTAAAGTGATGGACAAGGATGGCTACAGAAAGCAGGTGGACCTACTCTCAGCTCAGGTAGTAGAGTCCTTCCTACTCACTAGCCATATATCTTAATAAAGAAATTGAGCTGTAGGGGTTGGAGAGGGGGCTCAGTGGTTAAGAGCACTTGCTGCTCTTGCAGAGGACCTGGGTTCAATTCCCAGCACCCATATGACGGGGGTGGTGGTTAAAACTAAAAGAAATTGAGCTTTAGAAAGGGCCCACTCTTGTGCCATGTGCCTTTCTGGATATATCAATACATGCTCCTTACACAAGCCTCGGAACAACCTGGAAGAATGGCTACTATCATTCCTGTATTAGAAATGAAGCAAAGGCTCAGAGCGAGGGGAAGGCTGTGTAAGCAGGGCTAGGGGAGGAGGAAGCAGAAACAAATAACTGTTCATTTTTTAAAGTTTGTTGAAAAAAAAACACCAAAAAAGCAAAGGCTCAGAGGTTAAACATTTCATGTGAGGTCACGTGGATTGTTGGGGTCACTGTTGCTCACGTGGCCGTTCTTTATAAATAGAACAATGTATTTCATCCTTCACACCTCCAGTTGAGAGCCCCTATCTGCCCCCTCAGTCAAGCATCCTCATATAGGGAAGACTCTGCCTCACAGGCTGCCTGTTTTTCTGTCTGGAATGCAGAGGATTCTCTAAACAAATTTACTAATTTTGAATGTAAGTTCTTTGCTGGGCAGACAACACGGGCTCTGTTATTCCAGTTCATTCTGCAACTCACATCTTGTTTCTGTAACAGCATTCTTATTTTCCTCCTGCTCCTAGCAAAACAGTTGATTTATTGCCAGGAAATCTAGCCAAACACATTACAAGAGGTTTCGGGGTAATCTTCCTTTCAGGATTAGCTATGCCTCCAGTCCCTTCCCTTGGGGGAAGAGTCCAAATGTGTATCTTCCTCCTCTTTCTGCACAGACCCCCACGGCACCCTTTCTTCTCTAGTGCTGCTCCTGGCTGTATCCCCGACCTTCAGAACTGCCTTTTATAAACCACTTCAAGAAAGAGCACAGGACCCTTCCCCTCAGAGTCCTGACAAGTCCAATAAAGAATTGACCCTTGTCCTGCTCTCCCCAGCAAAGTGGGTCTGAGTCTTCTGTAATCTCAAGATAAGGGCGCTTAGTGTGAGCAACCTCTCCTTGCCTTATTTTCAATTGACTTCCTTTCTTCAGGGCTTTACACCTCTCTGGAAATGCTGGAACTCAGAAAAGAGATTTTTGTCCCAGGTGAGGATGACTCACATGCAAATTGGGACCCCAAGGTATAGGATGATAAATATCCAGCTAGTTTGCTCGCTCAGGAGCTTAATGGGAGATAGCTGAGGCAGGTGATAATGGAGAAAGAGTGAGAATTTGCTTTTCTTATTGTCTAATAGGATGTCTTCCTTCCCTAGAAGGCTACTGATAAAAACATGCAGTACACCAGACCTTGTAATGTAATCACCAAAGATTAGTAAATCTTTTAAGATAATGAGTGGTTCTCAACCTTCCTAATTCTGCGACCCTTTAATACAGTTTCCTCACATTCTGGTGACCTCCAACCATGAAATTATCTCATTGCTACTTCATAACTGTAATTTTGCTACTGTTATGAATTGTAATGTAAATACCGGTGTTTTCTGATGGGCTTTGGGTTTGCAACCCACAGGTTGAGAACCATTGTTTTGAGACTTTGCATATGATTTTCCTTCTGAAATAGTAGCCTTATCCCTGCACTATTCCAAACATGTCTATATGAGTGCTCATATGCATACAACTGGCATTTAGTGTCATAAAATAGCTATGAGGAGGCAGGCAGGGATTCTAAAATTTGAAATGAATGTTTTTATGGTTGGAAAAATTTTGAGACAATCTCTGTCAGATCACAATGGGAATGCTTTACTTTGTTATAGGTGGCCATCTTTGGGATAATTGGTTTATGAATGAATATGAAAGTTTGCAGTCTTAGAAAAGTACTCAGAGTAGTCCAAAATTGGCAGCATCTCTGCAACTATATTCTATCTGTTGTAATGTTTGGTTTTCCTTTTAGGCCGCATATTGGCTGGAAGAGGCAATGGAGGGGCAGGTAGCAGCAGGAAGAGGAGGTGTTTGGAAGACTGACCTACCAATATGTCCTAGGTATCAAGCAGTTACAACAGCTGTCTGCAAACAACTGGTGGGGCTATGCTAGTATGTACCACATACGCTTTAGTTCTGGCAGCAGACACTGAGCGGGGAGAGCTTGTAGCCTAGAGAACAATGTGATCTTCCTTAGTCTTTCTAGCTTTAGAATGGTCTTCTTTCTGGTTATTTGTCCACGGTCACCTACTTGTTCATTTTTGCTGCTTTGTTCTGTCCATTTATGATGAGGATATGGGGAGGAGGGTGCTTCATTAATGCTGAAGTTAAAAGTTTGCATTTGGGCCTCTGTTATACCTATCCATGTACTGACCCCATACTATGACACCAAAAGAAAATTCCCACTCCCCAGGTTACGAACCTCTGGAAAAAGGATTTGATTCAACCAGTCAATTGCCAGGATCCTTCTCAACTCCGTATTCATGGCATCCAGGGCAGTTTGTAGTATGGCCTCATCCTCAGCATCTCTCAACTGGCATAGACAAGGAGAATAGTAAGTGTACATTTCCTAGCACTTTGCCTTAGACTCCACTCTGCGTCCATGCTAGGACCAAGAGATCATACAGCTATCAACATACTGTAGCTCAGTTTGGCCAAGAGATTATAATGGTGACAAATTGTAGCTCATTTGGCCTACAATCAGATTATTCATTTATCAAACGTAATACTAGCTTTAGATAGCTCTCTTTTCACCAAGAAGATCCAGGAAATCATCAGATGGATGAGGTCTCTTTGAAGCTGGGCATGCTCAGTTTCACAAGCGAAGGTCTTTTCTCCAGCATGAATTAGCACCACGATTTTCAGCTTTAGCTTAATGTCTACAAGGGTCTCATTCTTGGCTTCCAGTTTCTGAAGCCATATCACTACCCACCTAAGTAAGAGCTATCACTAAATTCTGAGCATATTGTGTATATCAGGTACCGTGAATACATAATTTCATGTACTCTCCCCAATACCCTCACAATACCTTGCAAGGTATGATTATTCTCATTTCATAGGTGAGAAAGTATAATCAAAGAAGTTTAGTGTTGAAGGTTACATGGCTAATGTTTGGTTGTTATCTGTGGAAGGCCTGCTCTTTTCTCAAGGGAAATGAAGGAGGAGTGGATGGGGAAGGACTGGGAGGAAGGAGGGGAAACTACAGTTGGGATGTAATATTTGAGAGAATAAATTTATTTAAAAGAAGATTACAGGGCCAGACAGAATCTGTCCAACTTAGTAGCCTACCATTTATACAATACACAAAGGCATCCAGATGCTAGAGGTTATAATAGTTATTATACATTATAATTTAAAAGATAGTTTGTAAATCAAGGTGAGCTTAGGGAAGGACTGCCTCAACTTTTCCCTTCCTGGTAGAGGCTCTGCCTCTCTAGACTGTGCTGTAGCTTCTAGTTATTTGTTCTCCATGATTAAGAAACATGTGTGCAGGTGGCTTGTCCTGTCTAAGTGGTTACTGCTAACCTCCCAGTACACACAAGATAAACTCTGCGTGGTACATGGGAGACTTAAAGATTCTTTTGAGACCATCTCCAAGTTCCAAATCAGCAGTACAGGGAGAGCATTCATATTCTAACAGGTAATAATTGGGGCACATGGCAACACACTGATGGACACAGCCCTTGAAAGCATACAGCAATCAAAGCTGGACCCAGCTCTCATCTCTACATGCACTCTCCTTTCAGTTTGGCATCTCTGTGGTCTCTTCCTATTTATGGGACACTTGCTGCTGTAGCAATAGCTAGTGCAAGAAATGTGTGCTGACTGAATGGACAGTGAGTGGGATGGGAGGTTATGGCCAGTCAGAACATGCTAAAAGAAAGAAATGAATCAATGCTAACAAATAATTTGTCCTCCTTTGCAACTTAAGACAATACAGCATGGCTTAGATGCACATGCCAAACATATGCCAAAGAAGGGAAGTGGGAATTACTGAATGAGATTCACTTCATTTTTCAAAAAAGCTATATCCCTATTACAGTTTACCTGCAATGTCCCACAAAGGCCCATGTGTTGTTATATAGGCTTAAGTCTCAGACTGGTGCTATTGAGAGGTAGTGGAACATTTAAGAGATGTAGCCCAATCAGAAGTATTCTGGTCATTGTGACCATGGCTTTGAGAGGAACAGTAGTTCCTTGGCCATACTCCTTCTCATTTCTAGCCATGAGGTGAGCAACTTTAGTCTCCCACATGATTTTCAGCACAGTGTGCTGCCTTGCCAGATGCTGAAAGCAAAGGATCAAACCATTCATGGAACGAACCCTCCAAAGCTGTGAGCTAAAACAAAGCTTTCTCTCTGTGAGTTGATTATCTTGGGTGTTCATTTCAGCAATGGAAAGATAATACAGCCCCTCTGCCAAAACTGCCCTTTTTCACTGTCATACTTTCCCACTATGAAAAATCCCCAAATGAAACATGACTGTACCCATCTCATGTTGGTGACAGCCTTTCTGGAGATACATGGTCATTCTTATGTGCTTTGTGCCTGCTCGCCTCATTTTGATGTGTACACATGGATGGAGCCTCACAGGTCCTATCTGAAGGAAGCCTTCTGAAAGCCTCAGTTCATTGTAGGGTATGTTCAAGCTGGGCTGTTGCCTAGCATGGCCTAATTTTCAAGCTATGAGCTTCAAGAAAGCCTAAATTAGCACAAGGCCAACTTTCCATATTTACTGATGGCTGAACTGAGAATGACATTGAGTTCAGAATTCCAGTTGAAATTGTCCAAAGCTAAAACACCCTAGCTTGGGGCCCAGATGATGGAATGGTGTGGTCTGAGAACTTTAGTCATTCTGCTTCTGAGGCAGTATGACAATGAGATATGTAAATGAAAGAGGGTATTCTTACAATTTCAACTCAGAAGCCCTTCTTCAAATTCAACTTTAATTAGACCAAAAGCAAACACAACATCTGCTCAGGGACAACATCAAAGTTGGATAGTTATGAGCAGTTGTCTTCTCATGCATGGACATTACATGAGGAGAAACATGCAATTAGTGTAGTGTTCAGAGTCATAGTTCATCCTCCTTAGTACTTTTAAAGCCCATCTTTTGAGCCACAACTATGTACCAGGTACTGCTGGGCACTGAATGTCCAATACTTTGTTATTTTTGTAAATCCTCTAAATACGCTGTAGAGGTAAGGTTACAATTCCTGTCCTGGAGGTAGGGGAAATAAATGCAAAGAGGTGAACTTACACAGTTAGTGTTGTGAGTTGTATTGTGTTCCTTTCAAAAGATATGTTAAAAGTCCTAATCCCCAGTATTTCAGAATGCACCATTATGAGAAATTATAGTCATTCCCTTTGTAATTCACTGTTAACTTGAGCTCATATAGATAGGGCAGGCCTTAATCCATTATAATCAATCGCCCTGGCAGAATATGGCCGTATGAAGACAGAGACATTGAAGATAAGATAAGGATCAACAAAGATTGCCAGAAAAATGACCAGAAGCTGGGAAAAGGCAAAGAAAGCTTCCCCTAGGGATTTTTAGAGGGATGGACCTACTGACAATTTGGGCTTTAGTGTTGGAGTTTTCAAAATGATAAGCTAGTAAGATTCTGTTATTTAAACTCATATAAATCCTTGGTACTTACTCATGGCAGCCTTAGGGAGTTAATACAAATGGTAGGTAGCTAATTTGTATTTGAGCTCAGAGCCCTCAAAATTTCCCCCTATTTCCTGTTACTTTCTCCATGGAGAAGGTGAAATTTCCATCTTGATGGAAGAGCATCTCTGAGGAGCTCACTCTTTTCACTTGTAGCTGAATCAGTTGTAATGAGAACACTATGCATCTGATGGGCCTAGTCTTGACCCAGGAGACATTGACCAAAGATAGAAATACTTTCATCCAAAATATGGTAGTCCCTATGGATTGTTATAAACACACACAGTAGCATATTCAGGTGACCAATACAGCATAATGGCAATCGTGACTGGAATGACTGGAATCATCAGGCAAGCACTTACTTACAATCACACATCTCTAGTACCCTGGAACCAAATACAGAAAGTGTCCATATTCAAAAGAGATGCTCCCGTCCTCCAACCCCACACACTCACCAAGTTTTCATCCAGGAAAGCTTTGGTGTCATCATAGAGCCCTTTAAGAGTAAATGTGACTTCTACTGCATCAGTTCTGCTCAGAGTCTGAGGGGGAGAAGAAAGGAAAGGACAAGATAGAGTAGCTGGTTAGTAAGCATGCAGCTGGCTTCTCCACAGGAAGGGAGGAACAGACTAGCAGGGCATGGCTGTAGCTGGAAAAGTAATATTACAAATACAGCACGCTGGCACGGCATGAGCACCAACCAGTCAGAATCAACACCAGCTGTCTATTGGTGTGCCCCACAAAGTGGAGCAATACAGCTTAGCTTTTGGCATCATTGATTCAGTACAGTGGGCAATAGAAAATTTGCAAACCAGAGGGAAATTTGCAAATCTAAGTTAAAACTACTTTTCCATTGGCAGGTAGAAATAAGTCTAACCATACATATTTCTTCTTGAAACTTGTGGCCTTTGGACCTCACTAGGATCTGGTCTAAAATAGAGTTAACTCACATTTGAACACATCCTGATCCTATTGTATTTTTACCTATTAATGAAGTTTGTGCTCCTCTCCAACTCCATCCTGTCCCTTCATATCCCTCCCTCCCTCTCTCTTTCTTCTTCTCCTCCCTCCCTCCCTTACCTTCCTGTGTAGGCATGCATGAGTGCATATGTGCATGTGTGTGTGCCTGTGTGTCTGTGTGTGCATGTATATAGTTATGTATGCCAGGGATCATATCCAAGGCCATTCTGTCACCAAGCTACATCTCCAAATCTAAAGCACATTTTTAAAGCAACACTCAAATCTTATGGCAGTGAGTATTGGCATGGGATGGCACATTTAATATTAAATGTCTGATCTGGACCTGTCAGGAGGGAAATCAAAGCCTCTTGGATCTCTGGTTCCAATGACAGGTATAACCTTATACTGTTACACAGGGAGTCAGATGGAATGAGGAAGGCCCAAGACTATGTTTCTTTCCATTTATTAACTATTTCACTCTGAGGCTGATGTGGTGGCTAGCTGCCAGAAACAAACACTGCTTCTCAGGATGATGAAATCAGTCATGGCATTTCCTCAGCAGCCACCTTGGCCTTATAACAATCTAAGGAATTCTGCATTCCTATCAACTCTATTACTTTATTTTTCAATTTTAGTTTGTTTATATTGTGTAAATATTCACATGTGTATATGCCCATGTATAAGGATGCATGTGTGTGTGTGTGTGTGTATGTGTGTGTGTGTGTGTGTGTGTGTGTGTGTGTGTGTTCCTGTAGAGGCTAGAGATGGATGTGAGGTGTCTTTTTCAATTGCTGTCCACCTTACAGTTTTGAGACAGCGTCTGTCACTGGACCTGGAACTCACTGATTTGTCTAGACTGGCTAGCTAGAGAGCCTGTGAGATCCTCTGTCTCTGCCTTCAAGTATTGGGATTACAATGCATGCTGCCATGCCTGACAAGGTGAGTGCTTGGGTTATGTGTAAGTTCAGTTACTCAAGCTTGCACAGCAGGCACTTTACCTAGGAATCCATGGCCCCACCTCCTGTCTACTCTACCCATCACTTTTCTACCCTACCACTTGCAGATGTTCCCCATTTCATTTTTGTTTCCCTTTCCCTTAAACCCCCTTTTCCTTTAAAGTTTGGCTCCTTTATTTCATTTGCTAATTTTCTCCCCTTACCTCAATGGGAATACAGGAAGCTGCACCCGCCTCATTGCCACTGTCTTGGCTATAGAACACCTCATTCAGTATGTTAGCACTGGCATTCACAGAATCCATGAGGACAGACACATGCTGGTGGACCTTACTCAGGTCATTAAGTCTGTAATAAAGCAAAACCCGATGAGTTTGTTGCTATGGATCTATGGTGTGAGGAGCTGGTAGATTGGGGTAAGAATCAAAACAAAAACCCTAGGTCCTGAATTTGAACTCTTTATTCCCTCTTGCTATTTCTGTTCTTCACTAGGTATCCAATGAAGAAAATGCTAGAATAGTCTTCTTTAAGCATTCACCTTTGTTCATGTTTGTTTATGTTGGATTTAGATACTGGGAGATTGAATAGGGTGAGAAACTAAAATTGAGGAGATAACTGGCTCTTGCTGAAACTTCAAGGTCTTTCTAACAGTTAAGGGCAAGGATAAACTATTTCTTCATTTCTTTATTTGTTTGTATTTGCACATACGTGTGTATATATGTGTGTGTGTACACATGCAGATCAGAGGACAAGCTGCAAAAGTTGGTTCTCTCCTTCTACCACGTGGAACCCTAAAGATCAAACTTAGATGGCCAGCCTTGATGACAAGCACCTTCACTTCTTAAACCATTGTGCTGGCCCAGAAAAAACATTCTTATTCCTACTGGGTCTTGGAAAGCAGAGGGAAATAAAAATTCACCTCGGGCTCTAATGGGGAGTGTGAAAACTGGCCTATTGTCAGTCACAAAGAATACTTCCTGCATGGACTGTCAGGGCCCTAATTGTAAGCACTTAGTCAGATTCCTTTCTGAGGCTAAGATCCCCAGTCATCAACGGATATCAACTGACTATCTCTCCCTATCCATTTTTGGGTTTCCCGGCCCCGTTTTAAGGTCAGTCCTCTTACCTGCTAATGAGGTCTTCTGCAAGCCGAGCCAAGTGCTGCATCTGGGCATATTCCCTATCAGAGAGGCTATCTTGAGATTCCTGGTAATCCAGCTGGGGTGGTAGGGCCGCTTGGATTTCAGTATGCTTACTTTCCCATGTTTTCATTGAGTTCTCAAACTCCTAGAGATGAATATAGTGGCAAATTGTAATAATTGTTGCAGCTATGAGGACATGTGACAGATTTTTCTATGGGTATGGCATTTTGTAGGTAATATGGGGTATACGTGGTAAAGGGGAGTGAAGACTTTCCTATCCATTCCTTTTATGTACCTATTTATACATCGTCCTGTCTTTTTAGTCAATGTATCTTCTGTATAAGATAGTTTAGTTTTTATTGTTAGTGCATTGGCTTGTGGGACACCAGTCTTGAATGAGGCAAAATCTGTCTTCTAGAAGCTCAGGTATGAGGACATGGTGATGGATAAGACATAGGAATGCCTTTTGTTCTCTATTCTTTCCAAATGTATATATTATGTTGTAATGGGATTTAGATTCAGACACACAAAATTTATTTTTCAATCCTGCTTTTTTCATCTACTAGTTGTGTGACTATTAATAAGTTATTTAAGCTCCCAACATGGAAATAAGTTTATCTTCCTTATAGGGTTCTTGGGAGGACCTATGTCAGGCAATATATGCAATGTACCCAGCACAATGTTGGCATTTTATTAGGTGGGCATTCCTTCCCTCTCTATTGATATTTTTATATTCACACTTCAAAAGATAGCCTCCAAGTCCTGAACAAATGATCAATAATAATTGTAGCTTTTTATTTAGCAGAAATGGGTGACATCTGTAAATGACATCTGCAATATATTAAGGAATCTCACAGGGTCCAAAGAGAACATATTCAATGCAAGAACTGTCATTGAAAGAGTTTATTTCTCCACCACTAAGGGTCCTTAGTTTTCTATGCAGTGTAGTGTAGAGGACAACCTTGTTGAAAGAGAGACAGTGTCTTTTGGACACTGTCTTTTTACATATAAAAATGTCTTGAGGAGCTTGTTTACAAATGCAAGCTCTAAGGAGCCATCACTTTCCATTCAGTTCAGTGAATTTGGTGTAGGATCTAGGAGTATGCACTTCTAACCATCATTCAAGGTGCCTGATATAAGAGGCATGCAGAGCTCTCTTTGGGGAATTCTTCTTGACTAGAAATGTTGATCTGTTTGGGAGGCATCCAGGCAGTGGGACCGGGTCCTGTGCTCAATGCATGAGTTGGCTGTTTGAAACCTGGGGCTTATGCAGGGACGCTTGGCTCAGTCTGGGAGGAGGGGACTGGGCCTGCCTTGACTGAGTCTACCAGGTCGATCTCAGTCCTCGGGGGAGTCTTTGCCCTGGAGGAGATGGGGATGGAGGGTGTGCTTTGGGGAAGGGGAGGGGAACAGGAGGGGAATGGGAGGGGGGAGAACAAGGGAATCCATGGCTGATATGTAGAATTAAATCATATTTTAAAATAAAATAATAAAAATATATACTATTAAAGGTATCTGTTGAAAATATTTGCATGCTTATATAAGTTTCAAGTACTAAGAAATACTGTTTTAAGTCAACTGTATATAAGAAACACTGATCATTAAAAATGTGCAAACATTAAAAAAAAGAAAGAAAAAAGAAATGTGATAGCTATGAATGAGGCAATGTAGGAGCTCAAGGAGAACTTTTCTCTTACCTGATCTCTCATCAACATCTGGGCAGTATTCTTGTATTTAATCTTGATAAGGCCTGGTCTCTGAATCCATGCTTCCCCATCCACCTGCACAGGGATACCTTCTTCACCATCAATCGTTATCATCACCTCATGGCACTATCACAAAAGGAGAGAGGAAAAAAAGGAAAAATGAAGAAAATACTGTGGCCTACTCTGGTGTTGGGTCACAGTGTGAATGTATATTTGAAGAGACACCGGCAGCAGATATGAATCAGATCATCCCAAGTACAAGCATGTATTACCTATAAGTTTGTTTGGGTTTTTGGTCCCTGACACTTCTGTCTTCAACATCAGTCACCACCCTACTGCCTAACAGATTGCCTACTTCCACTACCCAGGAACTTTTACAACCAGGTAATTGCTAGGATTACCTCACATCCTTGGGTTGAAGCTAGAAATTTTATCCCATCTTTAACCCAACCCTTGCTTACCTGGGCAATTCGATGATGCTGCAAGTTGACGAGACGAGACATGGCCATCTGTATAGAACCAAAAATTGCCACTACCTCTAGCTTCCCATCATCCATTGCAGGGGCGTCATATTCCTAGGGAATAGGAACCATGTCATAATTCTCACAAGAATCCATACTTTGTCCATAATAAATAAATGTGCTTTGAGGACTACCGGTAACATTTTTTCCTAGTCTATGAAGAAATGAGAAAACTATACTAAAGGGGAAAAGTCAGGTAAGGAAGCCAGGCTTAGAAAAGGGACTTGTGCTTGTAATCCATTTGAGCTCCTTTAGAGATCACAAATCAGCCAATTTCTTCCCTGTCCAGTGCAGCATCGTGAATTCCCAAGGCCAGTTCTATTAGTTTCATGGACTTCTTAGATGAACTCATAGCTGGTTTTCCAGATGTCTTTACTGACATACTAGATTGGGATGAAGAACATGGCCTCCTAGGTAATCATCTTCTGAGTGTCTTTCAGGCCTTAGTAACAGGAAAGTCAAAACCCAGGGGTCACATGACATAGTTCTGAGGTTCTTACTTGGTTCTTGTGCTCTGGAATGACAACTGTTTTAAAAAGCTAAACCTACAGATACTGCCAATAAGGACTCCAAGCCTATCTCATCTTCCCCAATGTCTGCTTTCCCTTCCGGTCTGCTGAGAGTCAGGCCTCTTGCCCACCCCATTCCTCGCTCCATACTCACTGCGGTTGCCCTGTTGCGTCCCCAGAAGTTGACACCTCCGGCATAGCTGGTAATGTTGAGCACTACAATGCCTTGAAGGTTTGGCAAGGAAATGGCTTTTCCATCACACTGAAAGAAAAAGAGGAGCTCTTAGTGCCTGGCTTTTCTCATACCAGCACAAAGATCCTTCACATAGATGGGGAGGGGCTTGGTCTTTCTTTCATACCATTTCATATCATTTTCTTATCTAGGAAACAGAAAGAAAACCTTGGGCCTTGTCCCCATGGCTGTGAGGGAGGATCCCAGAGTTTCATTTGAAAAGAACCAAAGATACAGTGGAATGGCGATTTCTGAGGTTTCCCTTTTCTGTGCCCAGGAAACATGGCCCTTTCTACTCACCTCCAGGTGTATGCGCTCTTCCAGCTTCCTGTAAGAGCTCCGCAGTAGCTGCTTGCTTCCCAGGAGGCCATACCATATTTTGTTCTTAAGGCGGCTACTGCAGAGAGAGGAGGAGAAAAAGCCAGTCAGAAGGTGAATGATATACAGGGAAGTGGGTGGGGGAAGACAGGAAGGAGGAAACATCTTATTTTTCAAGTGCTTTTTTTGTTTTTAATATTGTACTTTAAATTTGTTTTCACTATTATACGTTAAATTTATTCTTTGAGAAATTATACATGCATACAATGTATTTCAATTGTATTCATCCCTTATTCACCCACCCAACCAATTCTTCTGGGATACACTTAGATTTTCTTATCCTTTCTGGTAGGTTGCCCATGTTCCAATGTATGTATAGGCAACACTATTTGGATTCAGTGAATTATTAAAAATTAGACAGGTGTGGTGACACGTGCCTTTAATCCCAGTACCCAGGAGGCAGAGGCAGGTGGATCTCTGTGAGTTCGAAGCCAGCCTAGTCTACAAAGAGTGTTCCAGGATAACTAGGTATGTTACACAGAGAAACCCTGTCTCGAAAAACAAAAACAAACAACTGAAAATAATCAAATAAATATATATAACTATTTTTATTTTCAATGATATATCAACATCTATTTTATTTAATTAGTTTGTGACTGCACCCTGGATGAAAAATAGATTTATGGGTAATAATTCATTCAAATCAAAGAAAGAAAAATGGCATTTTAATATGACAAGAATTACCATATTTCTAGGCTATGTGGTAATTTACAGAAACACTTCAAAAGAATTTTTATGAGATGTAAAAGAATTGTGATTTGTTTTCAATTTTTTTCTGTATGAGTAAATAACTAAGCAAATTATCAAAAATTAAAATTCTGTTGAGATGGGAAGGAACTAGATTTCTCATTTCTCACCAGAACTTGAAAATTAAATTGTTTTTTAGTTATTGGTGCAAATGTGAGGAGTGAATTTTTGATGTAGTGATAAATGCCATAGACAAGAGGATATTGCTCACCTAAATTGTATGTATAAGAAGTCAGAAAAGCTTAATACATATTTTACCAATAACAAGAAAAGAAGATCTGTACAGATCACAACATTAACTAGTAAGGGGAGAGAAATATTAATGATGCTGTTTTGAACAACACACATTGTATAAAAGTATTGAAATAGTTCACTTTATCCCATAAATATGAACATGTTTACATGTTAGTCTTTGTGTGTCTGGGATGGAGAAAATATGGGACAGGCAAGAATAACAGGAGATACTGGGTGGACTTAAGAATAATAAGATCTTGTTGATTATAAAAACAAAGAGCTGATACTCCCTAAAAGGGTTGAATATCATTTATGAACTTTTAAAGTCACAGAAATAAGCTTTCACAGGGAATGTTTTGAAATATAAGAAGGCTAGCACAAAATTTGTACTCTGTTTGAAACAAAAACTTTCTGGGCACTTTAGTTTTATCATTTATAAAAACAGAAGCTTAATTATATAGAAAAGCAAATATACCTAGAAAAAAGCAAAACAATTCTGTAAATAAATTAATTAAAATAAGCACAAGGTTGGGAGACTTTTATCTACTTATCTCTAAAGTTACTACCAAGCTACAATTTCTAAAGTAGTGTGGTACTTGCACAGGATAGACAAAAAGATCTGTGAGACAGAAGAGTCTAGAAACAAACCATTACATTTATGGTCAATTGACTTTTGACGAAGATGCTAACACAATTAATTGGGAAAATGTTGACTTTTTGAAAAGATATGGTGCAGAGATAAATGAGATATCTACAGGGGTTTGAGTAAGAATGCCACCCATAGGCTCATATATTTGAATGTTTAGTGATCAGGGGATGGAACTCTTTGATGGGTTTAGAAAGATTAGGAGGTGTGGCCTTGTTGGAGGAAGTGTGTCCCTGGGGGTGGGCTTTGAGGTTTTCCAAAGCCCACACCTGGCCCAGTGTTTCTACTTTCCCTTGGCCTGTGGATCAGGATATAGAGCTCTCAGCTACTGCTCTAGCACCATGCATGCTGCCATGCTCCCTGCCATATGACAGTGGACTAAAATTCTGAAACTGTAAACAAGTCCCCAGTTAGATGCTTTCTGTTGTAAGAATTGCCTTGCTCATGGTCTCTTTTCACAGCAATAGACTAAAGTTGCAGAAAGACGAGTTTAGAGCATTAGCTCACCCCGTACACACACACCCAAAACAATAATAATTCAAAAGTACATCACAGGCTTAAATGTAAGAGCCAAAACAATAAAATTTTAGAAGAAAACAATATTTTCAGAGCTTGAGTTAGATTAGTATGATACCAGAGACATGGTACACAAAGAAAAAAAATTACTAGGCCCTGTAAACTCAAAATTGTTGAACTTAAAAGGATACCCCTAAGAAAATGAAAGGACACTGATCAACTGAAAGATACTTTGTAAAGCACCTATCTGGTACCATGCTTCCTCCTCATCCCAGGACTTTTCTGAGAAACAGACTCTAGTGGCAGTGACAGGGGTGGGATGATCCTTTTGGAAAATATTCATTCAGTTATTTTATCCCAACCAGTCTGCCCTCCCTCCTCTCTCCCCAATGCCCCACTTCTCTCATCCACTGGCCCCTCATCCACTCCTCCTCTGTTTCTATTCAGAAACTGGCAGGCATGCCATGGAGATCAGCCAGCCATGGTATATCAATCAGACTAGGCACCTCCCCATGTATTAAGGCTGGGCAAGGCAACCCAGGATGAGGAATAGGTTCCCAAAAGCCAGCAAAAGAGCCAGAGAGACAGCCCCTGCACCCACTGTTAGGAGTCCCACAAGAAGACCAAGCTCACAACTGTCCCATATATGCAGAGGACCCAGGTCAGTCCCAGGTAGGCTTAGGGTGATCCTTTTTACTTATACTTTTAATTTATAAGAACTCTGAAGTTGTCTTAAGGTATATTTGTAGGATAAAACTACCAGAAGGTGCCAGGTAGGTCAATACTAATCAATAGGTCCAGAGAACCCAATCTGGAACACCAAGAAACAATAGAAGCATCTTGGATACTTTGTAGCTCTGTCAAGCAAAAACAGATTTGGAGCCCCTACTAAGGACCCAGTTAATCTCTTAGAAACAACAAAGTTTCAATGCAATCTGTTCTCAACAGCAGTAACAGAGGTAGCTCTTTATACAGAAATCCACATGGGCGGGCTATGGAATGGGACTACCGATGTGTGATGACAGGGTAATTATCATAGAGCAGCCCAACTTTCAGGATATGCTGTCCCCACTGGGCTAGTCCTGAGACCAATGCGTTATATTTCCCAAGGACCTCGGTCTTTCCATTGCTTGTCTGATGTAGGAATACATATGTGTATCATTGTTGTGTGTATTTGTACAGAGAGCTGAGCCTCTTCCCCTTACTTGTATTGTCCTGGGTGTTCTTCTCTTCTGGTATTGAACTCCAGAGAAATTTTTGCATCTAGTCCAATTCCAAAGTAGTTGTTCATGACACACTTCTCTTTGAAGCGTCTGGAATTAGACAGGGAAGAAGGTAAACACTAAAGCATCAGACTTCATCTGCATGATAAAAAATCATCAAGGGAAGGCCTCTTCCCCTGGGTACAAGCCATATGGCTCTTAAAGGTATAGAGAGATGTCTTTCATGCCCAAGACTAACGTGTTAGTTCTAAGAGAGAATGTCTAGTCAGTCTGGAAGCTTTAGAGGAATTATGGCTCATATTAAAGAAGCAAAATTTGCAATCTTAGTTATATTTGTAGGCATTAGATATGAGTCCTGTTTTTCCACATTGAGTGAAATAGCCATAGGCTATTCCCATATCCAATTTTTGAGTATCTTGGTTGCAAATGTATTTTGACTATTACATCTACATTACTAATCTCAGCGATAACTGACTCCTTTGTGGCACTTTCACACCAGAAAACAAAGGTGTACTTATTTCCACATTTGAGAGGAAAGTCTGGTAAAAGAGGGTACAACAACAACAGCAAACAAGCAGTTTTTAGTTGCCTGTATTCATCTAGGGTATCAACATCAACACCGGAGTATTCTAGAACCACTTCACACCATCTCATGTCAACTGTGCATACTCATTCCCAACTTAGCATTTAAAGATATCTCAGTTGCTTGGAATAGGCTCCAGTGGGAGGGTTGATACCAGGAATAAACCAGGCAATCCTTTTGCACAGTTGGTGTTTAACATTTGCCTGTGCAGCTGCTTATCACAACTCAGAAGGCAGACCCATGAGACCTCAAACATGAATGGTGAAGTGCAGGATTTGGGAGGCTGTCAGAAGCCTGAGTAGAATTGTTTTCTTAAAGAAACATTTGCTGGGTGTGTCCTTCTTCTGAGAATCTGGAAAGGGTATATATAGTTCAGTTGTTTAAGCATAGGGAGATTTAAATTAATTACTAAACTTACAAGAGTTTCACCTCCCTTGACCACAGTGAGAAACTGGAGTTTCTCTAACTAACTCAAAATAACTTAGTGTGGTAGAATTTGGCTGCTGGGATATGCTAGAGAAGCAGGACTAGCAGAATAAGTGTCCTTGGAGTTCCTATCCAGTCCCTTACATGACCATTTGTTTTTTGGGTATCTTTAACCATTTATAGTTAAAAGCACCACTGAGAAAATAGGTCCTCTGAAATAATAACCAGTGTTTATTATGTGTTTATAATGATAGTAACTGCTAATGCACATGACACTTAACTACGAGTATCAAGTACCCAGCTCAGTGCAAGTACTTTTCACATCTAAACTCAACAAATAGAACAAGCTTATGTGCAAAGTCCAGTCATTAGCTTCATTCCATTTGGGAAAAATCAGGGCTTACATCGGTTAAGTAACTGGGTAGGTCACACAATTAGTTAAGTAGAATCAGATTTTGACTCTGGATTTTCTAGACTGTGCTACCAACCAGAGAGAGAGAAAAGACATTAAAAGGTCATATGGTTGCATACTTACATCATTTCAGGTGTAGAATATAAGTGTTCTAAGTCAAGGTAATGGAGGTCTTCACTTTTGAGAGACGATATAGAAGACAAGGGGCCACACTGAAAACCTAAACAGGAAAAACATTACCTTGGAGACAGATGCAAACAAAAAACCTTTCTCCTCACTTGTAATTAGCCCCCCATTCCCCAATGGGTTAGGGTCAAGCTCAAAGGCTTTCATCTGAATAAATGTCAGGGTTCTCATACCACAGCGGCTCCCTTAGATCCTTTTAACAGACCGGAATGCTCACTGAGGAGAGGGGAATGCTGAGGTGCTTGCTGACCTGCAGCGAAGACAATGACTCTCTCCAGAGCGCTATTTTCTGAGTGTCTAACATAATCTTTGCTGTGGATACTGGGGTGACATAGTGTGGAGCTTCTGGAAGAGTGAGGACTTCCCAGGATAGAGTGCGGTCATGCATGACGACATACATAGTCCCTGGAAACTAGGTGGCAGTGATGGAGACCAGAATGGGAGAATAAAGATGCTTACGGTGTCTTGGGCTCATCTGATTAAAGTCCTCTGAGTCATCTTCTCCCAGGAAGAGGGATGATGTGAAGTTCTTAACTGATAAGGACTGTCTGCTTTCTTCATCCAGAACTATAGAGAAAAAGTGGAGGAAGAGAGGGAGGGAAGGAAGAAGGGAAGGTATAAAGGAAGTAGAGAAGGGTGGAAGATTGGTCACATTTAGCAAACAGTTTCTGAGCATTTATATGTAGGTAGCCAGTAAGACTCTTCTCCTGTTTTCCCTCATAATGCCTCTTCTGCTCCCACACTCTTTCTAGTGTCATTTTCGAGTCTTTTTAGATCCATGCGTGAACATTCTGTTTTCTTTGTTACTCTTTTTCTGTCACCCACACAGCACACACAGCTGTGACTAGATGCTTGGGAGGGGTGATATGAATACCTGGGAGGAAATCACTATTCCTTTCTATCTCCATTTTGTTAGTATATATTCTCAGAATCCCTAAGCCTGACTACTCATGTGTAAGGCATGCAAAGATGAACACCATTTTCTTTCCAAATGACCACAGGCTGCTGATTAGCCTTGGTTGTTGAAATGACAGAAGATAGAAACATTTCCATGACAAGAAGTAAGGCTGACAGAGCTTCAGCGGTGTTACTTAAGTTACAAGTAGTTGTTTAGGATGAGTGTCAGTTCCCAAAATAGGTAAGTATAGGAACTGTGGGCCAGGAAAGGAGAAGTCAAAAGGACAGCTTCTTCTGGGGCTTTTCAAATCAGCAGTCAGAGGACTGATTTGGAAGGCAACCTGAACATAGCATCCAGCCAAGTGTTGTCAGTGAGGCCAGATAGCAAACCCAGACTAAAGGATGTCATTAAACCATTCATAGGAGGAAGCCTTACTTCCCCCCCCCCCATCCTAGTCACAATAACTCTAAGCACCGTACCTTGTTCAACCTGGAATATGACGAGCTTCAAGGATTGCTGGAGGTTCTGAGCCCTTGTGACCAACTCAATTTTGGATCTTGTGGTGTGGTCTATTTCTGAGGCGAAGGGTTTTCCATCAGCTTTGGCACGGGCAGCATTTTCCTCAGCAGAGATAACATCTGCATCCTCAGTCAGGATATCAATAATGACACTGAGTTTATCATACATCAAGTCACTCTGTAGAGGGAAGAAGGAAACTCATATTGTTATGAAGGACAGAATGAGAAGTAGTGATGGTATGGGATAGTAATATGCCAGAAACACTGGATATAGAAATTCATATGTGAGGTGATGTGCTGACACCCAAAGGCTATTAGGGGATTAAACATAAAGTCTTTGTTTCTAAGTAGCTTCAGGGAAATATGCATGTTTCACATAGCCTTCCCCATGTCAAGCTGGCCCTTAAATTTGTGTGGAACATGGAAAAATGGAGAAATAGAAACATTTTCATGCTAGTACATTCATAAGCATGTTCCTGGTGTGCCTCTGCATGGGGTTGGTGTCTGTCTTCACACATTGGTATTTCAAGGATATACATCTGCTTCATGATTTAAACTTTACTTAGTACGGTGGTTCTTGACCTTCCTAATGCTGAGATCCTTTAATACAGCTCCTCATGTTGTGGTGACCCCCAACCATAAAATTATTTTTGTTGCTACATCATAACTGTAGTTTTGTTACTGTTATGAACTGTAATTCAAATATCTGATATGTGACCCCTGCAAAAGGGTTGTTTAACCCCCCAAGGGGTGGTGACCCATAGGTTGACAACATTGCTTTAGTTGTTTATGGTGTGAGACAAGTTACTTAACATCCTTGTCCCTCTATATCTTAGGACAGCTGTGAGAATTGATACATTACATTAAAGCACTTAGAACAAGCTCTGACACAAAGTGTGTGCCACCTGTTAGGTACTGTTATAGGAGGTGAGTGTGTGTCTATTTCTTTTTCCTATTTTTTAATGTGTGTGTGTGTGTGTGTGTGTGTGTGTGTGTGTGTGTGTGTGTGTGTGTGTTGGTGGAGACCTGAGGTTAGTGTCAGGATTATCCTCAATCACTCTTCCACTCTATTCATTGTGCAAGGTCTGAATCAAACCCACAACTCCTTGATATGCATAGTCTCTAGCCAGATGGTTCTTGGGGCCCCTGTCTCCACTTTCTAGAGCTGGAATTACAATGCTCACCCTTATGTGAGTTTCTGGGGACCCAAAGCCCAGTCTTCACATTTGCACAGGAAGCACTTTAACTGTTGGGCCATATCCCAACCCTGGCATATTTCTATCATATGCATGTGTTTGTAGTGCTGGAGCTAGAATCTGTGACCTTACGCATGCCTAACAAGCATTCTGCTATCTGAGTCACATCTCCACTTACATGCAGATATTCACATGCAGGCTTTGGTGTCTTAACTCCATTCACTGATGCTTACTGTATACTTGTGTTTTTTCATGGGCAGATTTGTGGCTTCTACCTAGGTGTGTGGCATACAAAGTACCATTCTTCATTTGGCAAAGATGAGGGTGATGAGATTGGGCTTTTCTCTTCAAGAAGGTTTGCCAGCTCCTCAAGTTTGCCATTCCTTTATGATCCCCCATTGTTTTACTTGAAAGGTGAGTCCTGGCTCACAGAGAGAGAGAGAAGACACTAGGAAAGGGAGCTTACTTTCAAAATCACAGACTCCACTGCTGTATTCTTCTGCTTTATTTGGCTCCAGGCCTTTACAATATCAGCCACAAAGTCTTTCACTGCTAAGCACAGGAATCTGCAAAAATGAGGTAGACGGCATATGTGATAGAGAGCATGAGACCCAGAGCCCTCATCTTTTACAACAGCATCAATATCTATCTTCCTCCTCCTCCTCCTGTCTCAATATATCCTGCCTTCTCTGTCCTGTCTCCACCTTCCCATCCTTCTTTCTTTGTTTTATATTCCTGTACGTATGATGAAATGTGCTCCTTTCCTACTTGAGCCCAGTTTTACCCCAATTCCCAAGTGATGTACTTGAGACAGGTCTACAGCATTTCTTAGTGATGGTTATAAATTACCAGAAAAAAAAGAGAATTTATTTGGTTAACATTTTCACATTGGGCCAATCAGCTCTAGTTCAAAGGCTACCTGATAAAATATAAATGTAATGACACAAGGAAATGTCTTTTTGTGATTGGTGCTTCTCAGATGAGAGTGTAGTGGATAAGCAAAGAATCTTTGCTCTCAAGAGTGCTGAGAAGAACAAATGACCAAATATTTTGGAGGTGAGTGTGTTGCTTGGGTTATAAGACAGTAGACATCAGGTCCAACCTTCTGCCTTCCCAGGAACTGACACGTAAGGTATCAGTCCCTGGGCTCTGAGCATTTGGCTCAAATTTCCATCATTCCCTTAACCTCTGGTCTAACAGGACCCTGAGCCCCCAGAACAAACTTCTATCATCCATTAGTTCCTGAGTCCCCAGAGAGCCCTGGCCACACTCCTGTGGATCCCCTAGCTCCTGGGCCTGAAATATAAGCACTCTCTGGAGTATCAGCCCCCAGCCCAAACTTCTAACTCAATGGACTAACTTCAGATGATCAAGTTTTAGTGCAGAAACAAAAAATAACATGACAGTCCAAGAAAACACATCTCCACAAAAAATGACTGATCCCACACTAATGGACCCGAATGAAAATGACTTTGGAGAATTTCCAGAGAAAGAATTTGAAAGAATGATTATAAGTATGTCCAAACAACTCAAAGAAAACAAGGATATTCTCTAAGAGAACAGGAGAAATAAATAACGAAGTCAATACAAGATATGGAAATAGAATTCAATAAAAACATAAAATTACTGAAGACAAGGCAAACTGAAATCATGCTGGAAATGAAAACAGTAAGCAGGGCTTCTGGGTAAGCTGATGGATGAGAAGCCATGCCGGAGCATGTGAGGCTTATCACAGTTAAGGAATTCAAAGGAATCTAAATATGTTATCATCCATCAGTCAGCCTCTTCTCCAGTCCTACAGTCTACTTGATCAACACCCCAGCAAACCTCAGATACCATTGGACCCACAGAATATTTCCACTAGTGACCTGGGCTTGTTCCTGCTATAACAACCAGTGCAGCCACCACCCCCATGTGGACATTTTACTCCATGTAAAATAGTCTAAAAGAAACCTAACAAGTTAGCCACAAAAGTGGTCTTGGTAGGCATGTCACAAAAGGGCTTCCCAGTGACTGCTGCCAGGGCCCCCATCAGTGCCCCAGCGGGAAAAGGTGAAGATGAGGGAGCTAGGCAAAGCTCTAAACAGTGCTGTAGGCACCACACAGCCACCAGCTGCTTCCGACTTTGGACGTGTGGATGCAGCGAGTGTGGCTAGATGGAGTTTGCCTTAGCTACCCACAGCCCACAGAACAGAGGCAAGAAAACTCTCCATACAAGAGGATCTGGGAGCCCAGAAGGGAAGAATTGGACTGGTAAAAATCAGCACAGCCTCTGACCAGGACCAGGACCAGGGAGAAAAAGGAGTGGCCTGACAAAGAGAACCTCCATCCACCTCTCCTCCCTCGCTACAGCTTTCTTATTTACAATGTAAAGCAGGGCATTGTAGCAGGCCAACACTGTCCCCTACTGTTCATGCCTTTTGCTGCTTTGCACTGTCTTTTTCTCTCTCTCTTTCCTTTCTTTCTTCCTCTTTCCCCATATCCACTCCTTAGTATTACATCTCCTAAAGCCCAGAGGCTGACATGGTTTATGACATTGGTATACCCGTCTTTACCTCCTCTTTGTAGGCTACCATTAATCAAAACTCCCACATAGTCACGTCTTTTTTCTTTGCCTCAAGTATTCCCACTCCTATGAATACCCCCTTCCTTCCTCTCCTTCCAGTGTGACAACCTAACACGCATCACTAGACTCAGTGTGATTGTCTCCTCTCCTCCTTTCCTTCTCTACTCTGCTCACACTCACATATCAGCATACACAGTAGCATCGGGGTTCCTTTAGGCCCTAAAGTAATCAGTACTTAGTAAGTGTCTGTTTTTAGTCACTGTCGACTCTGTTACAGAGTGATTTATCTACTGGGACAGTGACTGCTGCTTCAGACAGTAGTCAACCCTCAGACTGGGGCTAGAGCCTGGTGTCTGGAACACTAGTCTAACCGGTATAACAGCTACAGTCTCGTTTCTCCTGAGCATTACAAACATACCCACTGGAAGAAGAGAGGCAACCAGAAGTAAAACAACAACAAATCTAACCAACAATGTAACCCCCAAAAGGCTGATCCTAGTGCAAAAATCCAAGTAACGTGAAAACCCCAGACAGCTTATCTGCTCCAAAAATTACCACCCCATACTAATGACCCCTACTGGAAATGACTTGGACAAAATTCCAGGTGCAGAATTCAAAATAACAATCATACATATGTAAAAATATCTCAAAGAGGACTCCACTACTTTCAAAGGGAACACAGAGAGCTGAATAAAACAAGGCAGTCAATACAGGATATGAAGACAGAATTTAATAAAGAGACGTACCTAAGAAAACTCAAATGAAAGTAATGATGGAAATGGAAAACACACTAGATCAAATTAAATCTTCAGTGAGAACCCTCCCCAATAGGATGAATCATGCAGAAGATAGACATGTATGAAGAGAGAATAGAGCATTCAATTTCATCTTGTGCGTCACAACCCCTTTGGGGGTCAAATGACCTTTCACAGAGGTTGCCTAAGACCACAGGGAAACACAGTTATTTACATTATGATTCACAACAGTGGCAAAATGACAGTTATGAAGTAGCAATGAAATAATTTTATGGTTGGGGTCAACGCAACCTGAGGAACTGGATTAAAGGGTCGCAGCGCTAGGAAGGGTGAGAACCTCCGGCGTAAAGGAATTGGATCATTCACTCCGAGTCAATGATACATTTAAAACAATGTATGAACAGAGCATTCATGACCTCTGGGACTCCACGAAAAGGCGAAACCTATGTTTTCTTATCAAGCAAGAAGGAAAAGAATTTCATACAAAAGGCATAAAAATAATTTTAGTAAGACCACAGAAGAAAATTTCCCAAATTGAGAGGGATAGACACTCATTCAGGTATAAGACATACACAAAGCACCAAACAGGACCAGAAAAGAAACATTTCTATAGCTGAAATACTAAATGGACAGAACAAAAAAAAGTATATTGAAAGCTGAAAATGAGAAATGCCAAGTCACAAAGGTAGGCCTGTCAGGATAACTGCTGACTTTCCAAGTTAACTCATGTATAGAATCATTTCATCTGCAAGTAGGGAGACGTTGATCCTTTATGGCTTTCACTTGTCTTATTGCTCTAGCTAAGACTTCAGTATTATGTTCATAGAGAGGGGAGAGTGGACAACCTTATGTCTTTCTTGATTTTAGTGGAAATGCTTCGAGTTTTTCTTCAGCTAGAATGATGTTGGCTATGGGATTCCTTTATACTGCTTTTATCATGTAAAGATATGTTCTTTATGTCCTTGTTTTCTCCAGGACTTTTTTTGTTAGTTTGTTTTTTGAGACAGGGTTTCTCTGTATAATAGCCCTGGCTGTCCTGGAACTCAATTTGTAGACCAGGCTGGCCTCTAACCCACAAATATTCACCTGCCTCTGCCTCCTGTGTGCTGGAATTAAAGGTGCATGCCAGCATGTTTGGCTCACACTTGATTTTTGATATAAGGATATCAAAAATACACATGGAAAAAAAGACAGCCTCTTCAATAAACTATGTTGGGAAAACTGGATATATAGATGTAGAAGAATGAAACTTGATCCTTCTCTCTCATGCTGCACAAAAATCAGTTGCAAATGGGGCAAAATATTGATGTTGGACCCCAAACTCTGAAACTTCTAGAAAAAAGAGTAGGGATACACTTAAGGCTATAAGTTGGGATAAGGACTTTCTGAATAGTACTCCCAGTAACTCAGGAAATCAGACCAACAATCAAAAGTATAAGTTCATGAATCGAAAGAGTTTCTGTACTGCAAAGGGGACTTATCAACTGAAGAGGCCGTCTACAGAATGGAAAAAAGACCTTTGCCAGCTATACATTTGACGGTGGGAGAAGTGTCTAGAATATACAATCTTTTTAAAAAGCCTAGATACCAAGATAACAACACAATTAAAAAGTGGGCTATGGACATAAGAAAGTTTTCTCAGAAAAAGATTTAAGTGTTTGCCGCCATTAGCCATCAGGGAAATGCAAAATAAAACCATTTTGTGATGTCCTTTGACCTAAGTCACATTAAAACAAAAGACAACAAATGCTTTTTAAAAAAATGAAGGAATTGGAAACCCCCATGCACTGTTAATGGGAGTTCCAGTTGGTACAGCTACTATGGAAATCAGTGTAGCAGTTCCTCAAAGAACTAAAAATAGATGAACAAAATGACCTAGTTATACAACTTCTGGGTGTATACCCTAAGGACTCTATTTTCTACTACAGAGACACTTGCATATCTAGTGTGCTCAATACAGTAGCGAGTACATTAGTTACTTTTCTGTTACTGTGATGAAATACCATGACCGAAAGCAACAATAAAGAATTTATTTTGGATTAAAGTTTGAGAGAGCTAGATGTCCATAACGGTCGGGAAACCATGATAGCAGGAGCAGGGAGCTGAAAGAACACATCTCAGTCACGCACAAGAAGCAGAGAAGGTGAGCAGGAAATAGGGCAATACTATAAACACTCAAAGCCTGCCCACAGTGACGTACTTCATCCAGTAATACTGTTCCTTCTAAATGTTCCTTAACATCCCC